ATATTCACATATGTACATCTGAACATCTTGTCTCATCAATTGCTAATTGTATTTTTGCCAAAGCAAGACAAACATCTTCACCACACCAAAGTGACCTGCAAATAGATTGTTATGGTGGACTTATAGTAGTTTCTGTCTTAGAGCTAGATTATTAGAGATGTAGATTCTGCTACTCTTTATTAAAAGATCTCATTCATCTATTTTTCACTCTAACTGCTGAGATCCTGCCTCAGCAAATCTCACTTGTACAGAGAGATTATCTCTCTGTGCTTCTAGCAGCAGATTCAATACACTTACAGTTGATTCATTATAGATCTTTTTATTTTTCATCACCATATTCACATGCACACAGGAAATCTAGAATCTCCTGCAATTTCTTTATTAAGTCTCTTCAGCATCTTTGACTGATGCTTTCTGAACTAACTTAATCATCTTGATACCACCAGATCTCTCCTGCACCATCTCTACCCCACTGCTTTGAACAGCACAAGCAGTATATACTTGAATATCTTCTTCATTAAAGAAAGTTTCTTCAAATGAGTTCCACTCTGGAACACTATCCACATAACATTATTTGAGTATATACATCAGCAGACTAATGTCTTTTTCTAGTTTGATATAATCTGATCTTCATGATAATGCATCAGCTGAGTTATGCTTTCCAGGGTGGTAGAGAATCTCAAAGTCATACATCTCAAGAATCTCTATCCATCTTACATGTCATTATTGTGCTATCTTGTTCATGAACTTCATAAATGAATGAAGATTTGCATGATTCATAATAATCTCTACAGAGTATTTTATTTCTTCTAAGTACTGCCATCAATAAATAAATACTCAGACAATGGCCAATATCTTCTTATTCAGCATGCCATAGACTCATTGAGTCTGGTCAAACTTGAATAACCAGTAGATAACTGGATGCCACTCATCTTCAAATAGCTGTAGTAATATCATACCTGCAGCATGTTCCAAAGTATCTATCTCCAGACATATTCTACATTCTGAATTATAGTGCTGGATGATAGACTCTCTGAAGAAGACTGTCTGCAACTCACAAAATACTTCTCTGACAGCAGGTATTAAAAGAAAAGATTCTTTCTTTCTTCTCTTTTTACTGTTCTTCAAGAGATCTGTCAACAGCATCACAATAATTAAGTACTTTCATATGAATCTCTGATAGAAGTTTGCAAAACCCAGAAATATCTGAATATTATAAAAACTTCATAGCAAGAGTCACTTCATAATCATCTGTACCTGCTTTAGATTCATCTTAATATCTTTGTTATCAATGATATATTCAAGATATAAGATCATTCATTTTTTGAAAGCATACTTGACAAGCTTTGCAAACAACTGATATTCTCTTAGACACTCCATAACTAGTCTAACATGTTTCTTGTGCTCTCCCTCTGAGACTGAGAAAATAAGAATATTATCTAGATAAACTACACAGCATACATCAACCAGGCCTGCCAGCACTCTATTAATATAGAACTGAAAGATTGCTGGTGCATTTAATAATTCAAAAGACATGATAAGATACTCAAAACTTTCAAACTTTATACAAAATATGGTCTTTCATTCATCTTCTTCTTTAATTCTAATCCAGTGGTAGATATCACATAGATCTATCTTGGAAAAGTAGTGTGCTTTCACCAACCAGCTTAACATCTTATTTATTAATGACAAGAGATAACAGTTCTTGACTGTGATTGCATTAAGATCATAATAATCAACACAGAGTCTGAGTTCTTTATCAGTTTTGAGTGCAAACAACACTGAAGTCTCTGTCAGACTTTATAACAGACATATCCAACTCTTGCATAACTTGTTCTTGATGTACTCTTATAGAATCTCCATCTGCTTGGGCAATAGTTTATAGATTAGCATGTATGAGGGCTTACAGCTGTTTTTAAGAACAATCAGATGACTGATCTTTATTAATTCCAGTAACTCTGCTGCTTTTTCTTCTGAGAAAATATTTTTATAGTTTCTCAATCACTCAGGCACTTCTGTCAGGACTTGATTGTTGTCTGATGTGAAAATAACATAAGAGAGTTTGTTCTTGATACACATCACTCAGAGAAATCTACCTGCATTCAGAAGTTCTACTGTTTTCTCTGAGAATTAGTAACATCATATCTTATTCTTCCAGTCTATGTCTGAGTTGAAATCTTCTAACCACAGCATGCCTAGAACTATATTCATGTTGACCATGTCAATCACCACAAACATACATTTTACCATCTTTGTGGTCCCCATGAAGTCTGTTATAGTGAGTTAGGTCTTGTAGATGCCATACCAATCAGCCTCAGCTCTGTTCAACATCTTAATGACTCCCATGAGCATCTCTGATTAATCCCAGTTCAATTGAAACACCAGTTTGTAGAAGATATTATTCACTATGGTATCTGAGTTCAACAGTGCAGCTTGCTCCATAAGACCATCTGATGGTGTAGTCAGTATGGCCAACAGACATATACTGCACCTGCTTGCCTTCTCTATTGAGTTAACACTCTATCTTTCTAATGTTTGATCTGGGTCTTGCATGAGCTTTGCAGCTCTAGTCTTCATCTGATTCTTATTCTTTTCATCTGTTCACTGGAACTTGTTAAAGCTGTTTGTACAGAACTTTGCTCTATAGTCTGATTGATTACATCTTAGACAGAGCTCTTCATTTATTTATTGTTTGTGTTTCTCTTCTGATATTTTTGAAAGTGGTTTCACCAGTGTCTTCTTTATTTGTGGATAATCTTCTTTATTATCTTGTTGAGATACATCTTTTTCTTAAGAGATTAAGATTTTCTGTTTCTTCTTATTTTGATTCTTATTCCACTGACTTTGCTTCTTCTTTTCTAGAATGAACTCAATAAGCATTACTTGTTCTTGTAATTCTACAACTATTTTTAGTTGGTGTTGCAGTTTATTCAGTTCAGTCTGAATAATTGGTCTGAGCTTTGTCTGTAGAAAGAATACACAAAAGAATTTATCTGATAAACTGTTCAAGTCCTGTTTGAGTTCAGCAATGTACATGAAAAATGAGGGTATGGATTGATTCTCTTGTTAAATGGTGTCATGATAATGCTGCATTATGTCTTGACTATAAGTTATCTCAAATTCAATGTCATTCTTACATCATATCTTGAATTCATTTCATGATGTGGATAGTTATTCTCTCTCTATTCCCAACATCTACTAATGCATCTGAGGTTTGTCATAAAAATAGCTGGATGCCTAATTAATTCTTACCACATCTGATATCTTTTGTAATGATTTTCTCAGATGAAACTACTGTCTTATTAAAGCTAACTATAATTTGTACTTGCCAAGTAATTTGCCATGGTAATAAGATGCTTTTGATGGCTTTATATTGTCAAAATTATCTGACTTCTCTATTGATCTTGTGCATAAGAGAAATTCTAAAGAAAAATTATTGTTTGCTATTCTCTGTTTGTATTCTATCTGCTTCTGCAGTCTGTGTATCTTGTTTTATTTATATATGTCTGCTAGATTCTTTTGCAGATGTGTCTTCTTTTCTTCAAAGATCTTTTCTCTTTGAATTTTGTTCAATATATTGAGAGATGTACCTCTATTATCTGTATTGTCTGCTGATATCTTGCTGATAATAGCTCTACTGCTACCAGCATCTTTATTAATATTTATCTTCTCTATATTAATGTCTACCTCTGTCAGATCTGCAACATGAAATATTATTGTGATTTATCTTGTGGGTCTTGGTGGCATTATACCAACTTAGACAATTATATATTGGAGTATTCAGAATGTTAGATGAACTGGTTGTAGATTATGTAGATTTTCCCAGAATTAGGAGTATGAAAGAGCTAAGTAGATATGATGCCTGTAACTGATGGGAGAGAGTCATGCATAAAATATAGAGGTTCTCTCACTCAGAGACTGAACACTGGGGTTCCCACAATCCATGCAAATTATGTGATTCTTATATGTTCAGCATTGGGGTCATGTGAATACCCCTGAACATCTGATATCATCTGATGCTTGATTGGTCTAGGTCTATGTTCATAACACTAGAAGATCATTACTAAAGCATATATCAGATCTTAAGCAGAGTTAAGATCTGGACTGTTTTCTAGTAAAAATAGCTACTCTAGATTTCAAATCTTTATTCTCAGAAAGAATGCAATATTATGCATTATGAGAAACTGTAAACTGATTATCTAAGCTCATCCATGATTTCTGAAATAAAATATAATCAATTTTCTTTTCAAACTCAATATCAAGACATGTATATATTGACTTTTCATTTCTTTTAACATTATTCTAAAGAAAGATTAATTTTGAAAAAGTATTTAAAGTTTTATTTAACATAAATTAATAAATGATGGTATAACTTCAATCTTCTTCTTAGAGATTACAACTTGATTTTCATCTTCAGAATCTGTTTTATAAAATCTCTTAGAAACAGATTTAGTTCTGGAAAGATTCTGCTCAGCTTTTACTAGTTGCATTGATTTACTAGTATTTTGTGCTGAATAGTTAGATTTTTTGAAGAAAACACACTTTGTACTTTTAGCCACATGATTTTCTAGACAATTAGCATATTTTAATGTAGATGTATATATTTTCTTTCAGTAATCTCACAAATTGAGCATTCATGCATACTTGTTTGATATTTTTGAGCACAGATACCACATCTAGCTTCTTTTTTACAGTTTGGTGCTGTATATCTATAAATTTAACAGTTAAAGCATTGCACAGTGCTTCTAAATCTTTCTGACTGTTTATATTTACAAACTTTAAGATTCTGTTCAGTAATTACAACTGTTTTCAGATTTTCAGCTATTGTAGTATTTTGAACTGAGCTGGCAATCATGTGAGGTCACACCCGCATAGCTGCTTACAAAGCAGCTGGGACAGTGGATGACATAATCAATCAATCAATCAGTCTTGCCAAACAGGATAAATGCCTTTCAACTTCCCTCCAAGGGATGACTTATGGAGTGCTGGTTCAGGATACTGCAAACCTCTTACTCTCTTTGCACGCCCGGCTGTTTTATTGATGGATTGTGCGCCCAAATGTATTCTTTTGTCAACCGACAAAATGGCATGCTCAATATCGCCTGTCGAAGCCGAGGACGTGGATTTGCTCGTGCGAAAAGTCGAATTTCCTGCACATCAAGACAACCTACTCTATAGCTTGATGTTCCCGCGCTCAAAGGAGCGACAGTGGGAGCAGAGAGAAGACGAAATCAGATGGACGATTGATGGGCTCCTTGAGACAGTTCATCAAGGGGGCGAAGTTTTGTACAAGGCGTGCAGAGAAGATGGATCACCTGTCGGACTGATAGGCTGGACTGCTAATCCAGGAGCATTTGCAATGGGAGTTAACACTCGCGATTGCATTCACAGTGGGCCAGTAGTTAGGCCTGGAGGAGGGCAAGGGGCAAAGTTGAAAAACCAGAACAGCTTTAACCCTCCCTCTTTGGATGTAACTTCGTGGCTTAGTATCTCAGAAAGGCTCAGAGAAGAGAGGCAAAGAGTTCTTCAGGGTTACCAAGGCAATGGAATATGCCGTAAGCCATCAGCCAACTTGGATTTTCTCGGGCCTTGCTCACTTGTCTCCGTTAGGAATCACTTTCATGGCTGTGGATCCAAATCATCAACGTCAAGGTATTGGGTCTATGCTCATGAAGATTTTCTGTGATTATGTTGATAAAAACGCACTGGGCGCCTTTGTTTTGTCCTCCCCTGCTGGTATTCCACTATACTCCAAGTTCGGATTCAAAGCAGCTGGTGTTGTTGAAACAAAGCAGGGAAACTTTACTAGCATGCTAAGGACTTTTATTCAAGGTAGCAAATCTTGACAACACAGTTGCAATATTCAAAAGGATCAAAAAAAGAAAAAAAAAAAATATGGAGGGTCAGAATTTAATATCAAGAAGCTCATGATCGCCTATGTACAGTGTCAGGAACATCCATGGTCATTGAGATGTTTTCCCTTAGTGTCCTTCCAGCAGTACTCTCTGCAATGGCACCTCTGGTCATCATCAGCACTAAAAACCCAGAGAGCTTCAATGAGCTCCGAATCCTTGACCGATCCCCGTGGTATCATGATGTTGGTCTTGCCTTCGGTGATCTCCACGGATAAATCCGGGTCATACCTGTCTAGAGAGCGCACGCCAAGTACGTTCTCCAAACCGTGTTGGTGAAGAAGAGCCGAAATTCGGTCAAAGAGCTCACGATCAGGGTCTCCATGAGACGAGCACGGCGAAAAATCAAATTCAAACGGAGCCAAAATTCCGTTGAAGAACCTGAACGTCCGCGGAATGATGAAGCCTTCATATTTGGACACCACGGAGTTGTTACTGTTTTCGACAGTCCACGGTGTCGAAATGTTTCGGCAGTCCACAAGCCGCTGGTTGGTCTCAATCGGAAAATGCTTATGCAGCAGACTGACCCCGTACTGTTCATGTATTCCGGAATCGAGGAAAAGCTCTCTTATAGGGCCCAGTAAGAGCTCCTTCGCTTGCGTTTCCTTGAATAGATTGGCAGCCTCCCGAAGAGATGGCAGCGATTCATAAGCTTCTGGGATATAGGAGGCCCTACTATAGAGTCAACAAGCGCACAAAAGCTTGAGTTGCCGAATTGAAAAAGAAGGAGGGTTACATTTTTTTGACATAAGCAATGTTGATGGGTCGACGTGCTTTTCAACAGGTTTTGGGAAGGTTGTATGTCGAGTTTTCAGTGAGGGGCACAGCCCTCTTTATACCACAGTTGATGGCATTTCTACACGTTGGCAGGAAATCACCGTGGTAAGGTTGTTGTCTATTGGATGACAAGAGGCAACTCTGGGAATGTATTGATAGCTGAACGCTTCAAAATAGCTTATGAGGCTGATAGAGGGCAGAGGTGGCTAGTAGTTGACAATAGTAGACAACTATGGTCAGTCATGGAAACAACTGCACACAAGTAGGCAATCGCGGCTGATGGTGAGCAGGAATGTACAGAAAAGAGGGGACAGTGGGTCGCGATGGAGGCCTTGTGAAGAAGACTGGACAATAGCAGGCAGTAATAGCCAACAGTAAGAAGAAATGGGCAGAAATGAGCCGCCCGAGGCTGCAGGAGATGCATTAACGTCTGTCACGGCGAACTCGGAACACACGGTGAACTCGGACTTTTTGCACGTGACATAGTCCGAATTTTTCAGCACCAATCAAATCTCTCAGTTTTCATCATCATACATTCATTTCACAGCAAAAAATGAGCACAAACAGACTCTTTTTTGGCTGCTTCAGCAGTAAAGGACCAATGATTGAGTCAACAGAGAGCTGCTACATTATATGATATTCCTCTTTCAAGTTTAAATGATTATATGATTTCATTTACTCCAGTCATACAGAGCCTGTGTATGACATCTAGACATGGCTTGCACCTCTACATGGTGCCTGGGACTAGTAGCCTGTTTGGTGAAGCCAAGCAAGCCATCTTAAGAAGGTTTTATATCACGTGCAAAAGTGTCCGAGTTCACTGTGTCCGAGTTCACTGTGTCCGAGTTCACTGTGTCCGAGTTCACTGTGTCCGAGTTCACTGTGTCCGAGTTCACTGTGTCCGAGTTCACTGTGTCCGAGTTCACTGTGTCCGAGTTCACTGTGTCCGAGTTCACTGTGTCCGAGTTCACTGTGTCCGAGTTCACCGTGAAAGACGTTAAAATTAGAAGTTGGGCGGGGCGCATGGGGCGAGAACGACACACAGCAAGCTGCAGCCAAGTCACATCGAGACTAAGAGGCTAGTGGTAGGTCAAGCTCTGCACGGAACATTACGAGGACGTTCCCGCCCAAGATGTCCCATTACTTTTGTATTTTGACTTGTGTCTTTCGACTTTAAGTGCTTTGTAGTCTTGTTACGCCATGTCATCGACCGAGGATTTCTTCGACTCTCTTCTTCACCAAAAAGGCATCCTTGACAATAGCCCATTCTTAGATGCGAACAGTCAGAGAGGACTAGAATCGTGTTACTGTCTTTTGCATGACATAATCAAACATATAGGATCGCGACAGACCCAGAACAGACGTGACAAGGCACGACAACACCTCAAAAACATCTACTCTATAGCGAAGCCACTCTTTGTCCTTGTTGCGGTCACAATATCCATCACTGATCTGGCGTTATTGGACCACACGGAGATATTTCCTCATCTCGAAAATTGGTGGCAGAACAATGAACCCTCCCAAAAATTCGAGCAACGCGCGAGTGAGCTTATCCAAGAGCTGGACTATGTGAGAGAGAGAGGCGGTCTTATCCGTGTACAACGTAAATTATTTCATTCACTTGTCGAATGCATTGATACTAACTCTGCTCAAAGAAAGAACAAAAAGCAGGACTTTTGGGAAGTTGCGGCGTGTCAAACACAAGAGGTTGGAACATCCCGTCTCCCCTCGAGATCCAACGCCGCAGAGCCCAATTGACCAACTCACTGAACTTCCAAATGCCCTTTCAGAATTTGGTGATGTCGCTCCATTCTTCGCTTCATTGAAGTTGTACTAATGGATGGATTGCAGGTAATGATAGAGTTGAGAGTGCGCAGTTACCAGTTTCTGGGAGCTCAGGTTCGTCTGCATCTGGCTATGGTTTCATGAATGTACTAATACAGCAAAGGTTCCATCGGAGCTTTTACAGTGAATGTGACTGACGAAGAGCCCATATTATTCCTTTCTTCACAGCTCATGGGCTTCCTCCATGCGTATCATGCCGATTTCCCCCATCTGCAAGCTGTCAGCGAGCTGCTTCGAATCAGCGGGCCTAACCTGCAGCTGTCATACTCTCTTCTCAATTTGACACCTCCATATATCCATATCGATCTTCAACTGCCTTCTGGGTTAAACGTCAACATCGAGGTGTCGAGGGAATTCAGTTATTCCTTTATTCAGTATCTGTGGATGCTCCAGGCATCAGGCGCCTCGGCAGACGAAACGTCGCAATAGTACGTTTCTAAACACGAGGCCAGTACGTCCATCACTCAAAATGAGGATTCTTTGACCGCTTCCTGTTTTGGGGCCTGTTGAAAGTATATCAATGCTGCCCTCTGCAACGCGTGAGTGGATGACACCCTCTCCCTCGTCTCCGTGTATAAGGACCGCAGGGGCGATATTTGAATCTAACATTTTCCCCTTGAAATATTCAGTTTCAAGGGTGACGGCCTTTCCACTCTACCAAGATAAAGGTAAGCAGTTGAACATACATAAAACACCCAGGATTCTAACCAACAAGGATTTTGCTTCCTCTTCTAGACCCTTATCATCTTGTGCTTTTGGCTTTTGGAATACAGATTCGTTGATTTTGTTCATGACACTCTCGACGTTCGGATGGTCTTCGTTGGTGGCTTAGGGCGTGGGGAAGCTTGATTGATATTGCGAACAATGTCACCTAATTGCCCGCGAGAGGGTCAGCAATTTTCGGGGTGATCAACTCGAATCAATAGTTGCACATTATACTTGCCTGTGGAGGTTGCCTTTCAAAATATAATTTGCTGAAGACGGGTTGCACACTCGGATTTTTGATGAAGCAAACTGCTAGATAAGAAGAGCCCGCTGCGGGGCTTTCGGCTTTGGGTAGCAAAGCCCAGCCATGTGGTTTCGCGTCACCAACCTAAATGCGAGAACCGTCAGCAACACTAGTCCATAGTACATAATTTTAACCCTGAACTTCTTGTCTCATCCACCGCCTTCTATGTGGCGTAGTCCGGTGCAGCCAATGCTGATAATGAAGAAAACTAGGTACATGCCGTACAACAAAAATCTTGACGTAAATCATTTCTCATTTTGCACCTTAGCTCCCATTGTGTCCCATTAACTATTAGTACACATCATTTGCACCAACCTTTTCGTCTCATGAATTAATAATAAGGACGTTCAATGACTTAATGAGTGTTTGTGTCATAGTTGTCTCATAAAGTCTCATTGCATATTATTTTATGCCATTTAGTACCTTCATGTGGCATTTTGTCTCGCATCCCATGTTTTCATGCTTCCAATGCTTGTGATGATACCATGGTTTCAACTTCGCGCAAGCTCCTACAATGGACATTCAACAAGATTTGGATTTGCTCCCGGCATCCTATCCAGATTGCTCATGCTCTAATTCGTGCATCCAAGTTCACTCAATCCACAGCATACTTTTGCTAAAAGGATTTAAAAGGGGGCAGGCTGGCGACAGAGTTATAAATGGGACCAAACTCTCGGGTTCATAGAATTCTTTGCTTGTATTCATGTTAGCATTTGACCCTGCTGATTTGACCTTTCTTCTCCATTGTACCAACCAATTCCATCCGCCGGCTCAAACAACATGGCACCTGTTCAGAGTTGCCCCAATATGCCTTCCGCCGAGCACAACACGGCATTAAACAGACCTTCTCTCCCCTGTCACCAAGTCTTGACTCCACCTAATAGCCCAATGATGGGCTTGGCTATGCCTCAAGCCAAGTCTTAATCTCCTGATCACACAACCCTCCTAAAGCAGCAGGTGAATGGGTATTCTTACCACTTTGGATGATGGTGTGTTCACCCTGGCACAAGTTTTGGAGACATGTGTCTCAGAATTGGTATACAGAGTATTAGTTAACATAATTCCCAAGTGAGCCGATCACCCAAGCAAACCAATCACCATTTCAAAATTCCACTCAATTAAAGAACTCTTCCACTTCAACACACAATTATGCCACCAATTCACAATAAAAATTCTTCAAATTCAATTGAGAGAGAGGGAAGACTTGAACTCATGATAAAATCTATTAAAAATCAAGAAATTATCTCTATTTGTGAAGCTGCTGAAGTCTATAATATTTCCTACACTACACTCTATAACTGGCTAAAAGAATGAGCTCCATAGGTGAATTTATGCACAAATTCACACAAATTATCTTCTGCTAGAGAAGATAGGCTAGTTAAAGGAGTACTGGACCAAGCTAAACAAGAAATCCCCCTAGTCTGCATTGGTTGAAGATACAGCTAATTATCTTCTTACTATACAGAATTCCACCATCTTCACTAATCTTTTTTTATACATTGACAAGAACTAGATGTCAAATCTAGTAACATACTGTCTGGAGCTCCAAAGTCAATATTTCAGACACTATAATCATAATCATACTAAGTGCAAACATTAGTAAGTTATAAAGAATTAGTTTAAGATCTTAAGAGATATAATTACTGAGTATAAGATTCTGCCAGAGAATATATACAACTTTAATAAGACTAGCTTTGTTATGGGACTCAGCACCACTACTAAGATTATTACTAGTAGTGAGTGCTATAACAGAGTAAAGCTTCTACAGTCTGATAATCATAAGTAAATAATTATAGTTAAAGTAGTGAATGCTTCAGAATAAGTTCTCTCTCTCTACATTATTCTTAAAGATCAGAGCTTGTTGAAGAAGTAATTTAAAGATCTTTCAGAAAACTGAAGACTAGATACTAGTTTAAATAACTAAACTACTAATAAAATAAATCTTAAATAATTTCAATAAGTCTTTATTTCTGCAGTAAATCTATACAGAGTCAGCAATTCTATTCTTCTTATTTTAAACAGATACAGCAGTTATCTTATCTTAGAATTTGATTAAATTTGCAAGAATAATACTATAATATATCTTTGCATGCCATCTCATTTCTTCTACCTTCTGCAGCCACTAGATATGAGCATTTTCTCAGTTTTACAGCAAGAATATAGAGATCTAGTTCAGTAGTAAATGCAGCTTGAATTTTAATACTATTTAAAAGACAGATTTTTTAAATACTTACTCTACAGCATGCACTATAGTCTTCAAATCTCAGATTATTTAAAATAACTTTAAGATAGCTGGAATAGTGCTCTTTTAATTTGACTATATTCTCCAGCAGCTGGATATTTAACTACAGATTTCTACCCTCTCATGCAGCAGCTCTAGCAATTTAATCATATTCTGAGTACTTTAAACATCTAGTAATTCTTAGTAATTACACCAGCAGATAAATAAGATCAAGAGCTTAGTAAAGAATTAATCTCAAGACTTTGTAAAAGATTTTGATCAAATTATCAAGATCTGTAAATACAGAATGATTAGTGCCACAATTATAAAGAAGTAATACCAGAATATATTTTATGTAAATAAGATAGAGAAGCAAAAACACAAGAGATTTAAGTACTAAATTTAATAAGAAGTAAAAGATTTAACTAGAGAAGAGATTTAAAGTCTTCTAGATCTATCTACAGCATTTGCAGAGTCTGCAGCACTTGTTGAACTAGCAGTTATTTAATTCTGCAATTTTCTATTATCTGAACCTGCTCCACACCAACAAGCTTCACAATACTGTAGCAATTGTGGCACTCTTAAGTATACAAGATTAAAATATTCTTAATCAAGTGTAATTTAATTGAATTTATTTAAGTGTTATTATGTTGAGATAATTTGAATTCAAAACTAACTAGTTGAGATACAGTGGTTTTGGTGATTGGTTTGCTTAAGTGATTGGTTTGCTTAAGTGATTGGCTTGCTTGGGAATTACATTATATTATTATTATTATTATTATTATTCATTATAGTCTTATGCAGTCAGTAATTATGAAGACTACCTAGCAACTTATCTGTTAGAATTTATTTAGTGTACATTGTAGAAACTAAAAAATAGAAGAATCAAAGTATTTCAAGGCAATATAAGATGTTCTTTCTCCACAAAAGTCAAATAACAGATAGTATATAAAATTAATTTCAAAGAAAAACAAAATTCTTGTAACAGTGTAACATAAATTAAAGAAATAAAGTTAATATATTTGAGAAAACTACTGTCTAGTAGCTATTCCAGTATATTTCAGAAATAAAACTAGCTATTTTAGACCTAATTTAGTTTCAAAAATAAAATTTAAAGATAGTTGAGAAATATCAAGTTCTTGTTAAATTTTTCTTCTTTCAGTTTGATAAGCTGAGCAGTCTAATAATAAATGCTTTGAATTTTCAACATAGTTGCAGAAAGAGCATAAGTTGAAAAAGTAGTCAGATAATCTTACTAGATAAGATCTGAAATATTCATAATCAAGCTTTAATTAGCAAATAGTTAACCATATCTTCTTTGATATAGAAAGAGCTGATACTTTTCATCTGAACTTTATTTTAAATTAAGAGTAGTGATTTATAAAGTGTTCTTTATTAAAAAGATCTTTATACTACTCTATTATTACTTGTTCTTTTATTTGTCTTTTTATATAAGTAAGAGTTACATATCTCTCTGAATAAAGTTGATTTAATTTTGTAGCTTTTTTTGCTGCTAGATTAGCTTCTTTATTTCCATGTATATTTATAGTATATGCAGGAACCCAATGAAGATGTAGATTAATTTGTTGATTTCTGATATACTTAGCAGTTTTTATAGATTAAAGATAATATAAGTCAGAATTAATATCTTGATTCATGAGACTCTGAATAGCAGCTTGACTATCAGAAAACACTCAGATATCTGATATTGATCTTGATTGAGACTCAGAGATGAAACTTGCTAATTTAAATACTTTATTTATAGCAAACAGTTCTGTATTAAAGACTTCAAGATATTTGTCTAGATTCTATGAGAATCTAATATTATCTTGTAGATTGTATACACCAGCACCAGTATATTAATTTTCTTCAGCTTTTGATTCATCTAAATAGAGAATTAAAGATCTATTGTTTAGATTTTTAATTCTATTTAGATGACTATTTTTAGCTGTTTTCTTGTCTGATTTTTCAATTTGAATATCTATTAAATCAGCTAGATTTTCAGATCAAGATGTATTTTATTTTGCTTTAATTTTCTCTGTTTTTAGAGAAGATAATATGTTTAAAATCATTGAACAAACTCTAAATAGTTGACTTGAATACTTGTTTTGTTTATTAATTTTTCTTCTTTTTCTTTTAGTTGATATTTGTTCAATATATTCATTATTTAGTTCTAATTAATTCCAGTCTAAAAACCTTCTCTAATCAAGATTTATACCATTATTATATAGTGGAAAGCTAGAAGATACTCTTTCTCTGATTGCATATTCTTTTGGTATTTTAAATAGTCTATAAGTATAATTTCTCTATAATCTATTAAATCTTACTTTGGCAGGGGGAATAGCAGCTTCAATCTTTATAGCATATACTGGAGAGATTTTAAAAGCTTCTAAAATCTTTTTTAAAGCAGAGTTTTAAAGTTTCTCATACTTATTAAGTAGATTCTTTTGATTCTTTTACTAAATCTGGACACCATAATCAGCTACTGAAGTAATACAAGCTATATATAGTTATCTCATAGCTTGAAAGATAAGATCTTTTTCAGTATTTGAAAGTCTAATTATTTGATTAAGAACTCTTTCAGCAGCTGATATCTTAATCTTTATATGATTCTTGAAAGTAAGTATATTGTCAAGCTAAATATCTAACTATCTCACTAGTCTTTTTTATTTGAAAACTTGATTATGTAGTTTAACTGAGTTTTCTTCATTAAATAATTTTGTAAAGTAAATTAGTTCTTTTTTTTTATATCAAATTAAACTATATAAGAATCTTGTCTGTTAAATATTGCTTGCAAAGCTTTATCTAACTTAAAGCAATTTTCTTTTATTAAGAAAGAGAAAACAACAAGTCCAGTATCATCTATATAACTAGAAACTCTAATCTC